TGATATTTCAAACAAAAGTCCATAAACATTCAAATCATATGTGCTTCAAAATCCTGAAATCATGCAACGTGCCAAATGGTGACGATATCCGTGAGTAATGTCAGCACACTTTATCCACACTGGCCAAAGTGCCTCCTCATCTCCTTTAATCGACCCAAAGGGCCACTTCGCTTTCAGGATCACACCTGGATCCTACTCCAACCCTGGCTGGCAGTATTTCACCTGTAGTTCCTCTGAATAATACTCCAGACCTCTCAGGATGGATCAATCTGCTAAATATAATTCTCACCCACGCTCATGGTGAGTTGAGAAAGAAATCCTTCATCCTCTTTTTTCATGTAAGGGTATACTGCATGGGTTAGGGTTTCAAAGATGGCGTCCAACGCCGGATGTGCGTCACCAAGCACCGGAAGCTGCGTCACGACGTAGCTACGCGTTACGTCACTTAAACTTGTGACTTCCTTGGGAAAGTCACGAGTTTAAGTGATGTAACGCGTAGGTACGTCGTGACGCAGCTTCTGGTGTGCGGTGACGCACATCCTGCATTGGACGCTGTAGAAATCTTGCACTCAGAGATGGACACAGTGCCACGATTTTGTCAGGCACATCCATTTTGATAAGAGCATACATTTCTCCCTCAATCCTTTATTCTCCTTCCCCCTCCCTTCCTGAGAGGCACAGTGACAGATGTGTGAGTGTGTTAAAAGATGCTGGCAGGTAGAGCAGCAGGGGGTCCAGAGCTACAAAGGCCCCCCAGAGACACAGAGTCTGGCTGTCCCAAAGCGTGTGTAATTTCCTAACCGAGATAATGTAGCTTTTCCCCGGACTTGAAAGAGATTGTAACTTCATAAAACCTAGTGGCTAGGTGACAGAATTAACTGAACATTCCTCAAGTCAGTTGTCCCCTATGTTTCATATCATGGATTATGAAGCTGTTGGTTTTAATGCAGAGTCCACCCGACAATCCCTCCCTCAACAGGGTATTGGCCAGTTACTCAGAGCCACCCCCCCTGCTGGGGGACTTTAAAACACAGGCTAGCAAGCCTAAAATGTTACCGTATTTTTCGCTCCATAAGACGCACTTTTTTTCCCCCAAAAAAGGGGGGAAAATGTCAGTGCGTCTTATGGAGCGAATATAGAGCGGCCGGTCCGGTATTTCCACCGCCGCCGTGTCAGAATACCGGGCCGGCCGCTCAGCTCTGCAGTGGGACCTTACCTGTCCCTCTATCCAGCGGCGCGCTGTCTTCCCGGCTTCTGTAGTGTGCGTGACAGCCGGGTCCCAAGTGCGCATGTGCAAGAAGCAGTGCTCTTTGTGAATGGTAAGGCGGTACCTGGGACACATGACAGATCCCAGAAGCCGCCGGACCAATCACAAAGCGCAGCGCTTCTCGCGCATGCGCACTGGGCATCCGGCTGTCCGACGAGCGCCACACTACAGAAGCCGGGAAGACAGCGCGCGCGGCTGGATAGAGGAACAGGTAAGATAAAAAAAAAACTCTGCGGAAGTAAGAGCGGGTACCTGTCAAATTCAGGTACCCGCTCCCCACCTCCCCAAAGGTCAGCAGTCATCTGTCTGTACTGTCTGCAGTCTCTGGTCATCTCCTGTACTATGTCTGCAGTCTCTGGTCATCCCCTGTACTGTCTCCGCAGTCTCTGGTCATCTCCTCTACTATGTCTGCAGTCTCTGGTCATCTCCTGTACTGTGTCTGCAGTCCATTAGTTCAGATTTTTTTTTTTTTCCTGTTTTCTGCCTCTAAAACCTAGGGTGTGTCTTATGGTCAGGTGCGTCTTATGGAGCGAAAAATACGGTAAGTTGAAGACATCTCCTATCTTTCCATTGTAACAGCGGGAGATCAAAGACCCTTTCGCTCTGCAACTTGGATCTGCTTACCTCAAAGGCTTAAATGGCAAGTAACTTAACCTTTTAACTTCTCCCTGTTATCTCTTTGCTGTGCTGTTTTTTTTATATATATATATATATATATATATATATATCTTAGTCACATCTTCTTTGTAAATATTTTATTGCACCTGTTTGACTCTTTTAGTAATAAATCTTTCTTTCTGAAAGTGTTAAACTGTTTCTAAGCGCTTACTTGCAATTCACGAATTCCTGCCTTTTGAAGAGACGCTACTATGTTTGTTTAATCCTCTGCCCAATTGGCCTGCGGTGACCGTATTGGACAGATGACTTTTCAACCATTACAGTGTATATTTGATAAGGAGAGTTTCCCCTTTCTCTGTACAAAAAGGGGTGGTTGCAGTGTAAGGGTTAGTGACATAATTACCTGACCCAGTAAAAAGTGCACCCAGGCTGCAGACACAGATTGAAATCCAATAGCTGGAAAATCGCTGTGTAGGGTGCAGCTGGGTGCGGCATTGTTACGCACGTCACATCGCGGTTTTAGATCGGCCAGTCCTTCGGTCACGAGTTTGGTGAGAAGGTTTGGGGTCTGACGCTGCGATCGTGACGTATTGGTGGTCGCGGTTGTGAGATTGTCGCATGTTGGTGGCGGCGATCTTGCGTCCATGACAGACGCCATCTTTGAACACCCTACACCCTAACCCATGCAGTATACCGTTACATGAAGAAACAGGAGGATCTGCAGTGGGGAGAAATGTGAGTGGGCATTTTTTATATACAATAAAGGAGACTTTTTATCAACATTACTACACTATGGAGGATTTCTTTCTCACTCACCATGAGCGTGGGTGAGCATTATATTTAGCAGATTGATCCATCCTGAGAGGTCTGGAGTATTATTCAGAGGAACTACAGGTGAAATACTGCCAGCCAGGGTTGGAGTAGGATCCAGGTGTGATCCTGAAAGCGAAGTGACCCTTTGGGTCGATTAAAGGAGGTGAGGAGGCATTTTGGCCAGTGTGGATAAAGTGTGCTGACACTACTCACGGATATCGTCACCATTTGGCACGTTGCATGATTTCAGGATTTTGAAGCACATATGATTCAATCACAGTTGTATTATCCCCAGAGTTGAGGGGTCTGTGTTTAGTTGCTCTATCATCTAATTAGAGGTGTATATTGGAGCATTTTCATTTCACTTATTTATGAGGGCACATAGTTTGAGCACATGATGCATGTTTATTGTATTACCATTTATATATTGGGGCACAATTTACATTTATATTTTTAGCACCAGTTTGGTATTTATATATTTTCAGCGCTGCACTATTTTTTGAAAATATCATTATATATTTTGTGAAAGCAGAGACCCTGAAGAATAAAATAGTGGTTGCTGCATTTTTTTCTGTTGCATGATATTTGCACAGCCATTTATATGTAAATTTTCAGGAAAAAATACACTAAAATGAATTTTAGTGTACACAAAGTATAATACCCAATTTTTGTTAAAATATAAAAGATAATGTTGTGCCAAGTAACGGAAGGAGTTGACTCGTGTTTAGCAAGTAAGTCAAAAAGACTTGTGTGTATAAGGCCAGGAATAAATGGCTGTCAGTTCCTCCATGAATCTTCTTTCAGCTCTATGGCAACAATTTCTTTTTAATGTAAGTTCAATACTTGTTTTTTTATTTATTTATTTAACATAGTTTCGCTATGCAGGGCTCTTCTCCTTTGCATTATCTATGTAGAGAACAACTGTTTTAAGATGCAGTTTATGGAGCAAAGCTGTATACATTTTACATTTTTGCACTTATATTATATGTGATATATAGGCAGCACTGTTAAAGTGGTTGTAAAGACTGAAGGTAAAAAACCTTCTGTGTGCTGTTCCCACCACAGCCCCAGCCCCCCCCCCCCCCCCCCCCCCCCATTACTCAGCTGAGCCAGCCTCTCGTTCTAGCAATATGCAAGGGAGCCTTGGCTGTCCTGTGTGTCTCTCTCCTCATTGGCTGAGACCAAACAGTGGTAGCCTTTGGCTTCTATTGTCCTATGGATGCATGGAGTAGGGCTCGGGGCACGCACCAGTGCCCCCATAGCAAGCGGCTTACTTTTGGGGGCACTGGCCAAGGAGGAGAAGCCAGGAGCACTGACGGGGGACCTGAAAAGAAGAGGATCGGGGCTGCTCTGTGCAAAACTATAAATGACATGTTTATTATTTAAAAAAAAAAAAAAAAAAAAAACCCAGAGCTTTAAGATCACTTTAATTATTGTTTTATTTTCACTATCTGATGTTTAATACAAAACACAACATATAACAGCAGCTACCTAAAAACAAAAGGTGTATTTTAGTTTCCCCACTGAGCACAGGTATTCATAATGAGCTTAAAAAAAACCCCAAAAACCAAAATCAAAAGGTACCTAAAAAAAAATCTCCATAGCCGATGCTTTAAAAGCCTTTACAGGTCACCAGTTTAGAGTTGAATGTGAGCTCTGGCATTAGAATTACTGCTCTCACTCTGATGTTCAAGGCGATAACTCACATTTCTGGTGCAGTCGCAGTTTACATAAGTGTACAGGACCTACATGTGCGTTCACATTTGCGCATGAGCACAAGGATGCTTTAAAGTTTTTTTATATATATAAAAAAGTTTTATTGGAGAAGAGACATGCTATACTTCATTTACAATAAAGATCCTGCATGACCACAAAATTTATTTTTGGTGGAATAAACTTGCTTTAAGATGATACAGTAACAAGATGATATAGGGCAAAATGTACTGTTTGGTGAATCAAACTTAAAACAGAATTGTAAGCAAAATCAAGTTAACAGTTAAGAGTTTGGGTGTGACAGTTTCAACATAGGAAACACTGTAGTGATAAACGAAAAACGTTCTATTTTAGTGACATCATATTTACAGCTAGTATGCCCAGTGACCATACCAGTCCCATAAAGGAAGACCCCTCAGCTAGCTGTGATTTGTGAAAAGTAATGGGATAGTGGCATACTGGTGAAACCTTGATGATGGACAAAGAATATACCAAGAACCTTCCAATAAAAATCTGGACACTAGACACAAATATTGAGACATAGGTAAGCAATCGGTGCAGGAAAAAAAAAAAAGACAGAGTGACTCACTTGGATACCAATGAGAATGCTTCTGAGCAGATGGCTGGGCAGGGAACGAGCCTGACTGCAATGTGTCCTAATGCTGCTGGATAATGCACCCTCATCACCGTGTCAAACACAGACTTGATGGTATTGACGTCGCCCTGCTTGGAATTCTGATCTCCGCTGCCTGTATCCAGGATATTACCCCCATGAAGCACCAATATGAGTACATGGACTTTACATGGCTGCAAGGAGGTTTGTGCCGATTCATCCTGTAAAGAATAGAAGACATCATTTAGCATGTCTCTGGTAATGCTTAGTACCAACACAAAAAGTATACCCAAATCATTTACGTTTAGAGGAACTCAAAACAAATTCATGCATCTTCACTTGGAAATTCCATTCAAAAGACTACGGACAGTTTGGAAAACCAGAAAAATACTGAGTTCTCGTTTATTATGTATTTTATTGACATCATATTAAACATTGAGTCTGAGGCACCTCTGAACAGCCACCATTGCCGACTTTCCATTTTACAGGTGCTGGTAGGCGCAAAGCGTTAAGAATCTAAGGCCTTGTGCAAACAGGGTGTCAAAAACACCACTTTTAAGAGTGTTTGGCTTTTTTTTCTGCCTCTAAATGCCCCTCCATGTTAGCCTATGTGTCCGTGCAAGGGCATTTGGAAGCTGAAAAAACCCATCACATGTGCAGTCAGGAGAGGAGCGTTTTGGCAGAAAAAAATGCCTGATGCACCTAAATGCTTTGAGCATTTAAAACATAATGATTCATTTCAATGGCCAGAATAAATTATTATTATGCAAATGGAATGAATGAAATACCAAATGCTTAATGCGACTAAACGCATCTACACAGCTTTTCTTCTGCCAGGAAAAAAGGCATTCAGAAGATCTGGGCAAACGCCCAATGTGCATGAGGCCTAACCCAGAACAAAACATGCAGATGACTTCTGACATTCCTGATGCGCCTACCTGTTGCAGGTCAGTGACTTAAAAAGAACTGAAATCTGCCAGTTAGCAAAATAGTCTGGCAACTAGCATCTTCAGAGGAAGAGGATGAGAGGGCGAACAATGGCTGCCTCTATTAGAGGAAGATTTTACCTTAATGTCTAATCATGACATTAAGGTAACAGTTGTTATACAAAAGTGGGGTTAGGGTATGAATCTACACAACACAGCATGCTCTGAGAACTGTATTAGGTACAACTAGAGATGTTATACTCTGATTATAATGAAATACAGAATATAGGGAACTTAAAACAACAAAGCATAATCTTTTAACCACACTGTAAATAAACATGCAGCTATAAAGCAAGATAGGTAAAACCATCATTTTCAGCAAAACATTTCACAGAAATGAGTGTTCTGCTACAATAGAGCCTAAAAACTGCAATGTAATACAAAAGGTTCAGTGATTTAAAACATTTTGTCTACCTTTACCTCTGTGTAGTAATATGGAGGGCTTTCTGTTCTAGCAAAAAAACAAAAAACATGCTTATCCCATCCTGCTTTACGTTTACACAGTGTAGCATAGAATTGCTACAAATGTATTCGTACACATTGCATTATTATATATTATTTATTTATTTCAGGTACTTATATAGCACCGTCAATTTATGCAGCGCGTTACATATATATTGTACATTCACATCAGTCCCTAACCCTCAAGAGGTGTACAATCTAAGGTCCCTAACTCACATTCACACATACTAGGGCCAATTTAAACAGCAGCCAATTAACCTACCAGCATGTCTTTGGAGTGTGGGAGGAAACCAGAGCACCTAGAGGTAACTCACACAGGCACAGGGAGAACATGCGAACCAATGACCCTAGTACTGCCAGGCGGAAGAGCTAACCATTTAGCCACTGTGCTGTCCATATATATGGATGCATGTGCTCTAATATCCAATTTAAAATAGGAAATTGCAGATTTTGGCTCTGGGATGGCTGTGGGATGGGCCCACCTCCATTACCAATGGAGGAGTCCCATACAGTGTGAAGAGCACTTTGGGCACAGGGACCGGTTCACAGACCCCAATGCAGAGCCTGTGCATCTAGGGCCATGTACTCAAACTCGGCTATGTGGGTCAGTCCATACAGTTCATGGAAGTCCATTCACTAATATCGGCTGTCTGCATGAAAATCAGTGCTAGAATAGAAAAGCGGACTCTTCTTGATGTATGGGGTTCAGTGCCCACTTGAATGAGCCCATGGCCTCAAAATCCCATGTAAAATCAAAGTAATATATTAGTATAATTTGTGCACAATCTACTACTGTGCACAATCCTTTTAAGGAATAAAATAAATAAGATAACCACAGGTTCAGACATCTCCATACAAGTTTTATAGCACCATGGTAACACAATGTATTTATTATACAATTGAACCATAAAATTTGGGTTGATCTAAATAGGACCAGCTGTGATTTTCTGACGTCGTAAGATAAAGCAAAGGCCAAGCAGTTAAAAGTTTTCTGGCGCAAGCGAGTTGCTGTGTTTATATGGAACGTGCTTTGTAATTTACACAAAGAGAAAGTGTAAAGCAGCAGATAAGAAATTTGCTGCCATGAAGAAGCACATCTGGTGTTCTGCAGAAACTGAACATGATGGCACACACAAGGCGTTCCTGGTTTGCTTATCATACCAGCGGCTGGAACTGCTCATTATTTTGCATTTATCTTACACAGAGGCCGATCAGCAAAATCAAACCACTTCCTTAAAATGAATGCTAGGTCAGTTTTATGGTGAAATGGCTTGGTGGAGCAGATTACTGTGCACAGTCTATAAACAATGCACATTCAACATACATTTAAAGTGACAATAAAAATATATACTTATTCTCCAAAAATAATCTATACACATTCACTAGCTAATGACCCTGTAATATATTTTTCATGAAAAATAGATCCTGAACCTCTCCTTTTACTCTTCACTCCCGGGAGCGAGCAAGAGAGGGTGGCACTGTTTCTACATACAGTGGGACCATAGAGCAAGAATGCAGTCACCTTCTAAGAGGATGTAAAAAAAAAAAAAATTGTAGATTTGGTGGAGGCTGAGAGCAATAGAAGGTACATTTCGAGTTAAGAAAACATACTTGAATAGATTTTTTTTTAAAACTAGAATTTAGAGTCACTTTAGATTTAGAGGAAAATCATACAAGAGGGTCAACTGGTCACATGCTGGTTATCTGGTTGTCATGTGTATTCAATACTTAGCAAGCAAGTGAGGTCAGGACTTATGACCTGCATATGTATTCCATGTAAGTAACCAAAGCCTAATGCAGGCCATAGACGGGGAGAAATCCAGACGGATTTTTTTTTTTAGAAAAACGAAAAATCGGTCGTTCAGTCGGCCGACGTTACCACCATTGGTAAAAAAAAGTCAGCTGATTTTCGTCCCGTCTATGGCCGGCAAATATAATAACGGTGTACCTGCAGAGAGCTCCGCTATTATATTTGACAGAAGAAATAGAATATGAATAAGAAGAAGAAAAGAAGAAATAGAATATGAATAGTAAGAAGAAAAAGTTGCAACATTGTACCTATTTGTATCCATTTCGGATACAGATGTTTCTATTCGGATACAAATAGATACAATGTTGCTATACTTTTAAATGTCAAATATAATATCGGACTGAAATTCTTTTTTTTCTTCTTCTTATTCATATTCTATTTCTTCTTCTTATTCATATTCTATTTCTTCTTCTTATTCATATTCTATTTCTTCTTATTATTCATATTCTATTTCTTCTTTTCTTCTTCTTATTATTAATATTCTATTTCCTCTTCTTATTCATATTCTATTCCTTCTTTTTCTTCTTCTTGCCGGTCACTGCTCATGCGCATTTTTAAAATCGGTAAAAAGATGGCCATCATTGCCGTGAAAATCGGCCGAACGACAAAATTGGCTGATTTTTTTTCCAACATGACCGACCAAAAAAAGTGTCAAAAGCACGAAAAAAACGGCCGACCGATTACCCCATTAACGATCTAAAAAAATCAGCCGATTTTTTTTTTTTCGGCTGAAAAATCGGCCAGTTTTCTCCCCGTCTATGGCCTGCATAAGAAACAACTTGACAGCCAGGGAACATCAATTTTCAGCAAAGCAATGGTAGTTCATATATTGTTCTTGGAATATTCAGAAAATTAGGTCCTGCTAGATCACTTCATGCTGGCATCTTCTGCAGGTATAGCTATGTAAAGCATTAAAAATAAGTGTCCATAATATTTAAAAACTAGTAATACACTGTCTCAGCCTGCTCTGCACATGGTCAGTTGCTCTCTATTTTTCAGCATGGTGCCTAAATTGTAGAGGGTTATATGCTGACAGCTTAAAGATTTACTGCTGTTCAGTGGCTCTGGGCGTCAGCAAAATGGCAGCCTCCAGCAAGATGAAACGAGAACAATGCTGGAGGCAATTTACCATTTATGCTACCAAAATAGTGTGTGATGTAATGTGGAATGTATGTTCCTTACTAAAGAACATCATTTTTATCAAGTTGTTATGAGTAAAGTTTTGCTTTAAAAGCTGAAAGTCAAACTATGAAAAACCTTTATTTTTATTGCTGTCTCTGCCTCCATGTCTTGGTGCTAACTGCCTCAAAGCTTTAGGCAGTTCAGCCTCATTTCTCTCCCTGGTTTTACAGGAATAAAAATAGAAAATTTCCCCAATGGGAGCCTGATAGAAATGTTACCTTATTTCCACGATCCAAAACCCCTAGCTTTTATATACAAGTTTTACCAATAACATATATAGTTATCAAAGTAAAACATACAGGGTGCTATAGTGGTAGTATATCGGATTTTAAAGAAGAATTCGGGGATTGGCAAAAAATTCACCTATTAGAACACCCCTACACAAAACAGTTTAAAAAAAATGTTGAAAATCCTTACCATTTAGGAGAAAAGTCTAATTGAATTTACATGATCTCATCTCTGTAATTTAAAAAATAACAGCATCCGCTCGTCCAAGGAGGAGGTGCAACAGCAGGGATTACATCATACCCTCTCCTCTCTCTACAGTAAAAGGAAACTACAGTTCCCATCATCCACAGGGAGTTGTAGTAAATGTGGGCGGGTACACTAGGCCTGTACATGTTGAATGTGTCTGAGAGTCTCTGTCCTCCCATCACTCCAAGTGGAGCTGAAGTACAACACTGCTTCTTGGAGAAAGAACTACAGAAGGGATGTGCCAAGTGTCTGGGGGAATAGGAGACATAGCAGCCGCTGGTCTTACAAACAGGAAACTAAAGAGAAT